CCCAACGATATTGACTTTAAAACACTGCCATTATAAGGGAGATAACTCTACTTTATTATTCTCAACAACATTAATTTCAAAAGACTGACATTGTAAGGGACATAACTCGATTATATTATTATCAAAAACATATAAACAAAAGACTGATATTTTAAGGGAGAAAACTCGATTACATCATTATCGAAAAAATAAATACAAAAGACTGATATTGTAAGGGACACAACTCTATGATATTTTTCTCGACAACTTAAATACTAAAGACTGATATTTAAGGGAGATAACTTTTTTTTAATATTCTAACAACATAGACTTAAATACACTGATATCTTTAGGGAGATTTACTTCAGTTAACTGATATTGTTAGGGAGATAACTCTATTATATAATTCTCAACAACTTTGACTTCAATAGACTGATATTGTAAGGGAGATAACTCTATTATATTATTCACGACAACATTTACTTCAGAAAACTGATATTGTAAGGGAGATAACTCTATTATATAATCCTCAACAACATTGACTTAACAAGACTGAAGTTGTAATGGAGATAACTCGATTATATTATTCTCGACAACATTGCCTTCAATAGACTAATATTGTAAGGGAGATAACTCTACTATATTGTTCTTAACAACATGAATACAAAAGAGTGATATTGTTAGGGAGATAACTCTATTATTATATTGTTCTCAACAATATTAACTTTAACACTGCCATTATAAGGGAGTTAATTCTACTCTATTATTCTCAATAACATTGATTTCAAAAGACAGATATTGTAAGGGAGATAACTCTATTTCATTATTCTTGACAACATTGACTTCAACAGTCTGATATTGTAAGGGAGATAGCTCTATTATATAATATTCTAACAACATAGACTTTAATAGACTGATATTGTAAGGGAGATAACTGTATTATATAATTTATTATTCTCAATAACACTGTATTATAATAATTTATTATTCTCAATAACATTGATTTCAAAAGAAAGATATTGTAAGGGACATAACTCGATTATATTATTTTCAAAAACATATATACAAAAGACTGACAATGTAAGGGAGAAAACTCGATTATATAGTTCTCGATAACATAAATACTAAAGACTGATATTGTAAGGGAGATAACTCTACTTTATTGCTCTCAATGATATTGACTTTAAAACACTGATATT